GGAAGAGATTTAAGCATTCATCTTGCTATTCTGGTATAAACTTTATTTTAGGGTAACGAAATAGTCCTAGAGGATGTGAAAAAGTATTTCTCTATAGAATTAGAATAAAAGAGGGCATAACAGCATTAGAAAAGTCATCATTTTGTAATCTCTAGTGAAATAACCAATTTATAAAACGGACATTAATGGATATTAAAACAATTTGGCAAAAAGTTGACAGGAACTTTATGATGCAGACTCAGGCTATCACCACCTGAGAAAACAGAAGGAACCTGGGACCTGAAATGTACAGTGGAAGAGAGGAGTCCAAGCAGGAACATCTGTACTCCCCTGTAAGTGAAAAATAAATCTTTATTGTGTTAAATCACTGAAATATGAGGCAATTCATTATGGAAGTTAGCTTATTGTAAAAGAATATCATTTATATATAGTAAAACACATAAGTACGCAATTATATATATATTTAAAGATATAAACATATCCAAACACATACTAAAACATTAGAGGGTATGCCTAGGTCAGGGAGAGGAATGAGAATAGGGCCCAAGGACCAAAAGAAGAAAATAAAGCAATAGAGGGGCTCGTATCAACTGAGGATGAGAGTTTAATTTATTAAGGAATAAAAAATAATAATTTAAAAAGGTGGCAAGGAGGGGCGCCTGGGTGGCTCAGTCGGCGTCTGCCTTCAGCTCAGGTCGTGATCCCGGGGTCCTGGGATGGAGCCCCAAATCGCATCGGACTCTCTGTTCAGCGGGGAGCCTGCTTCTCCCTCTGCCTGCCGCTCCCCCTGCTTGTGCTCTTTCTGTCAAATAAATAAAATAAAATCTTAAAAATAAATAAAAATAAAAAGGTGACAACGAATCTACCCTTTCCAGAGAGAGCCCAGGCTAGTTCACTGGTAATTATCTTCTGCCTTGAGGAGCACAGAATGGTTCTAGAGAGGAGGCAGTGTTGAAGACAGAACTTTCTGGAACCGTCCACCATGTTCACCAGGAAAAGTGTCAAGCCTGAAAATTCCCCAAGCTGAGAATTTCTCCCTTCAGTCTCAGCTCTCCCTGGTAGAGATGATGCATTCTCCAGACATGGGGCCTGGACCTGGCCACCACCTTCCCACCACCCTTCACTCCAGGCCGAGGGAAGCTAGCCAAAACATAGGGGCTCATTCTGGGCCTGGGTGCATCCATCTGCCCACCCTCCATCTCCGGTAGGCTGAATAATGGCCCTGCCTCCAAGGATGTTCATGTTCTAATCCTCAAAGCCTGTGAATATTTCACCTTTTATGACAAAAGGGACTTGGAAGTTAAGGTTACATTAAGGATCTTGACATGGGGAGATGATCCTAGATCATCCCAGGGGGCCCAATATAATCACAAGCGTATGTAATCACAACATAATCCTCATAAGAGAAAGGAGAATTAGAAAGCGATGAAAGGATGGAAGCAGAAGTCAGAGAGAAGAGAAGATGCTATCTGCTGCCTTCAAGATGGAGGAAGGGGCCACGAATCAAGGAATGCAAGCAGCCTCTAGAAGCTGGAAAAGGCAAAGAAATGGATTCTCCCCTAGAGTCTCCAGGAGGAATACAGACAGGTCAACACCTTGACTTTAATTTAGCCCAGTGAAACTGATTTGGGACTTCTGACCTCCAGAACTGTAAGATACTACATTTGGGTTATTTTAAGCCAAGAAGTTTGCGGTAATTCATCACAGCAGCAGCAGGAAGCGAGTACGTTGGCCCTGTTGCTGGGCAGCGTAGCCTGTTCTAGAAGAGTGACATCTGTGACACCGAGGATGGGGGAATCAGAGAAGACTTTCTGGAAGCCCAAGCAGTCAGACTGACCCAGTTTCATATTACAGTTGTTTTATTATCTATCTGACCTTGAGCAAATGTTTAAGCAACAATACGTTGTTAATAATGCATTATTTATAGGGTTGCTAAGAATTAAATAGAATAATGTTTTAAATTACCTACTACTACCTAATTACCCACTTAAAAAAAATAAGTCACATCTCCTTGTGGGTTTACACACATGCATTCTTCCATTCATTCAACAGGTGTGACCGAGCACCCAGCAGTGCTTGGCCCCTTGCACACAGTGAGCTTGTCTGCTACAAGCCCTGAGCACTTCTCACCCAAGCTGCCACTGAGCCTCCAGTCCGCCCAGTGCTCAGCCTTACCATCCCATCCTAAATGCGGGCCCTCACACTTGCCCACTCCCGTGGTCTCCTATCTCCGTGATGGTCCATCATGCTGTCAGCACCACCCTTTACCCTCCTAGACATTGTTTCTGCAGCTGCCATATCTCATCCCTGCCTTTACCCATTTGTGCCTATCAAACTGGGCTGTATGTACTCCCTTGACCTGTGGAGTGTGGAGCTCCCCAACTCCACAGGACCCATCTGGAGTTCCTCATCTCAAAGCTCCCCACCCCCACCCCACTTCTAACCTCCTGGTCCGAAATGCTGAACTCTCTGCCTCCATCATATCTGGGCCTACTGGCCCTCCCTGGAAAAATAGTTGGTCCAGGATAATTTTTCTTGTATCTGCAGTCCAGATTCATGAACCCTTTACCCAATCCAGGTCCAAGGTTCTCTTCCCTCAGAACCTATAGCTCTTTCTCCAAACACTGAGCTGCCTCTCTAGGGTGGGATTAAGAACCCAAATGTTAAATGGGAAAAATTGCTTTCTGTCCTTTGGGCTTGAGTGGTGTTCACTGGGTGGGGCAGGGGAACAGATAGGCTAGCCAAGTGATGGCACTGTAGATCTGGGTTCTCTAACCCGGGCATTGCCGTGCATCTACAATGGGTGACACTGGGCAAATCTCTGCCCTCTCTAGGCCTGTCTCTCTAGCCTGTCTGTACACTGAGTGGCTGGTTCTGTAAGGCTGTACTTGAGCTTGGAGGTTCTATGCAGCTATTCCTGGCAACGGTGCATAATGGCCACAAGAGGGCGTGCAACCCCTTCAGCTCAGAAGTTTGTAGCCTAATCAAACAAGTAAGCTTCAAAAAGGGATACAAGGCTTCTAAGTGAAAAAGGTAGTTTACCCAAGAGCACACTACAAAATGGCAACAGAGTTGGGGCTGGAAAAGGGTATTTGTATTCCCAGCCAGAGGGGAAATCAGGACCCCCAAGACCAGGAGAGGTGGTATGGAGAGGGCTGGTAGGTAGCAAAGGAGAAGAGGCTAGGAATATACTTTAGAGATTTCCAACCCTTTGAGGGGATGGGAGAAGAGAGGGTCTTTAGGGGAGAGCCACAGGCTGAATGTATTGCCCCAAAAGGATTGGAGTGGTGCTTGCAGAACAAAACCTGAGGAATTTAGGGGAAGTGGAGGTGAACTTGGCTTCCTTCCCTTCCCCAGCATAGAATGAAAAGTAAAGACATTGCAGGAGTTATTCTAGGATTTGGGGAAGACCGCTTCTTCACGTGAGATGGCACAGCAACTAGGCAAGGGTCACCTGACATCCTTTTCTCTCCTTTTTGCCTTCCAGTAATTAGTTTCAGGCCCCAGGAAAGATAAGTACCAAAATATGGACAGTTAGCTGGGGTTCAAAGGGTTAATCTCCAAGCATTCATTCTCTGACATGAGTTATAGCCCCCCACCTCTGACCTGTCCCCTCCTTGGGCCCCAGGGTGGCAGCTTCTGTGTATTCTTTCTCTGCTGTAAATCACTAGGGCCCTAGGACCCAGGCCCAGAGCTGGTCTCCCGCCCTCTCCTCAGGTCCCAGGAGTCCAGGGCTTGCTCTAAGGGAGGAAGGAAAGCAGGTTTCCTCTGGATCTCTCCCCCTCCCAGGATGTGGGCCCTGGGACCAAAGAGCCTCTGTCTTTCCCTGCCACACCCCCCCACCACCACCCATTGTAACCCAGACAAGGGGATTTGTTGTGTCTCAGCCTCTGGCACACATCCTTGTGACCAAATGGAGGAAAGTCCGGGGCAGGATGGGGGAAGGGAAATCACAGGATCCAAGAAGACACCTCCCCCCCCTTTGGAAATTATGATACACCTCCAGCGCACGGAGACTTCAAGCTTCTCCTCTCTCTGATTTCCATTGGCAAGGGGGAGAGAAGGGGGGTGGATGGAGGACTCATCAGCATATAAAAGGCCTGTGGAAGTGGAAACCGAGAAGGTGTGGAGACACAAAGGTTGGACCTCCTGGCAGACAGATCTGGAGCCAGAATACAAGAATGGGGGCAACCCTGGGACAGGGAAAGACAGGGGACCAAACAGGGCAGGCCGGATAAACTTTGGAGAGCTGTGGGTAGAGGCCCCTGCGTTTCCCTTCCTAAAAGCACAGATGTAGGAGTGCTTGCATCAGATAGGGATGTGGACACAGAGGAAGTGAGACCCTCTAGAATAAAATGAGAGCACCCCGTTTAAAAAGTAAGAATCTTTCTGAAAAGAAGCACAAACCTCTGACAGTGAGAAGCTTTCCTACCAGAAGGGGGGGAAGGGTATGGTCCTGCTTGCAAGAAGTAACAGTATGGAGAATAAACGGTATGGTCTTGCCTAGCAGCAAGGGCTCAGCCACCCCTATACTGACCTACCACCCCCGAGAGACTGGTACAGAGGAAAGGCTAAGCCATCCTGGCAGGAAATGACATCACTCACCAGACAGGAAGGGATGGTTCTACCAACCCCAAAGGCTTCTGGGAGGACGAATCCATGGAGGGTTGGCCCTGAATGTCCATGTCCCTCCACAGTTCTCCATCTTGGCCAAGAGGGGGCAAGACTCCTAGATGTTAGGTGAGGTAATTACCCCATCTCTTCATCAGTGATCTCTTAGGCATCCTAAATCCCTCAAATCCTTACCTAGTTGCAGAGGAAAGGGAAAGGTGCTATTGTACCATAAGACACAGGTCAAGCCTCTAGAGTCAATGTATCTATGGAAATAGCTCTAGGGTTCCCATAATTGAGGGATAAAGGCAGAGCCTCCTCAGGGACCAGAAGGATGATAAGGCCAGGTTTCCATGGTAACTGATTCCAATGCAGCCTCTTCCTGGACCCAGAACGAGGGAGAATAAATTTTAGGGAGACCAGGGCCTAGCAATGAAAGAGCCATAGAAATACAAAAGGGTGGGAAAGTTATTATAAGAAGGTCACATCATCCTGGCACTGCCAGTACCAGTGGGCCTCAAAGCCCAGTTTGGCACTTTCATCCTCTAGTGGTTCAGGAGGTCCACCTTGGAGCCCCTCCCCTGGGGGCTTCCATACAGCCCTCAAGCTCCCTAGCCTGCTGGCTGTCAGGTCCACCTCAGTCCTGGCCCTGTCCACACTGGGTATACCCTTTGCCCAGTCCATCTCAGGACGGGGAGCCCCAGGGGGTCCCTGTTCATCCAGCTCGCTGGGGGCCACCGTGTCTAGGAAGCTGCCAACGGAGAGGCTGTCCAGCTGGTCAGTGGAGCTGGCGTCAGGCAGGCTGTCCCAGCTCCCTCTCCTTGAGTGGCCTGGGCTCCCGCCCGTCAGGCTACATTGGCTGCTGGTGAGGCTGCCGCAGTGGCTGGTCAGCGTCCCTCTCTCCTCCAACAGCCAGCGCACAGCCTCGAGGCCCTCATTCAAGGTCAACAGCTGCTGCAGGATCTTCACATCGATGGCTCGCAGGTAAGCCTGGGGGAGTGGGAGAAGGAATCAGTCTGAGGTTCTGAGCCAGGGGTTTCCCAAATGTTTCCAGAGGCCCCGCTTTGTACTCCAACCAACCATGCTTCAATTTCAAGAAGCTGGGAATAGAAGCACGGTTGGTTTAGAGTGTGGGCGTTAGAAGCAGACAGATCACTGTTTAAAATCTCAGTTCGGGGGCGTGCCTGGCTGGCTCAGTCGCTGGAACATGTGACTCTCGATCTCGGGGTTCTAAGTTCAAGCCCCATGTTGGGTGTAGAAATTACTTAAAAATAAAATCTAAAAAAAAAAATCTCAGTTCTACCACTGATTAGTGGATGACTGTGAACAACTTTCTTTTTTCTTTTTTTTTTTTTTTAAGATTCTACTTATTTATTTGACAGAGAGAGCCGAAGAGCACAGGCAGGGGGAGCAGCAGAGGGAGAAGCAGGCTTCCCGCTGAGCAGGGAGCCCGTCTTGGGACTCGATCCCAGGACCCCGAGATCATGACCTGAGCCGAAGGCAGATGCTCAACCGACTGAGCCACCCAGGCACCCTGTGGACAACTTTCTTATATTCTTTGAGCCTTGGTTTCCTTGTAAAACTGAGCTACATCACTCATCTCACAGGATGGCTGTGAGAATTTTGAGATGCTATTTATTAAGTACTCAACACAGTGCTTGACGCAGAGTAGGGTCTCAGTAAATTTTTTTTTAAAGATTTTATTTATTTGAGAGAGAGAGAGACAGCGAGAGAAGGAACACAAGCAGGGGGAGTGGGAGAGGGAGAAGCAGGCTTCCCGCCGAGCAGGGAGCCCGATGTGGGGCTCGATCCCAGGACCCCGGGATCATGACCTGAGCCGAAGGCAGACACTTAATGACTGAGCCACCCAGGCGCCCCTCAGTAAATGTTTGGTATTGAAATCTGATCCTTTTGAGCTTTGAACTTCCACAGATAGAGTATTAACTATTGAAACAGTCCAGATTCAAAGAACAGCCTGATAGGGAGCCTGGTGTTAATTAGGAAGTAGGGCCAAAGGGAGGCAAGAGCCGGGGAAGAAAGAGGAAGCTAACCTGGTTCCCCAGTCCCTTCAGGGTGTTGGTCGCCATTGTTCAAAGGGTCAGAATCCTGCTGGCTGGGGATTCGGGGCTTCTCTTCACCACACACCTGTCTCCGTCTGTACTGGGAGTAAGTCTGATTGACCGGGGAATCTCCAGGGTCCCTCTCAGCTCAGATGCCCTAAGTTATCTTCCCCAAACACAAGTCTGAATCTGTCCCTCCCCTGCTCAAGAGCCTTTCTGGGCTTTGCATTGCTCTTGGAGAAGAAAATCTGAACCCTTCAGCGCTGGCATTCCAAAGCTCTCAGGATGCGGCCCCTGCACGTCTCTCCAGCTTCACCTCTAGTTTACTGCCCCAGGAGCACTGTGTCTTGTCACACACGACCTTCTGATTTCGTTTTATTTGCTTTTCCTTGTAATCAAAGTAATGGGTGCACATGGATTAAAGAGGCAAACAGTTCTGTGAGATTTATCACGAAAGTACTAGGCCCCCATCCTAATCCTAAATCTCACTCCCCTGAGACAACTATTAATCATTTAGCTGTTTATTTTGGTACTTACTTTCGAATCTCCAAATAACATGCTACTTATTGACTTTTAAGTTTTAGGTGTTTTCTATTGACTTCCCACATGATGGAAGGTTAAGGATTTAATTCTCATCCTACTACTCACTCCTCTGCCATACAGACACCTTTCCCGTCTCCCGGTATTCCCAACATATGCAATAAAATGAGTTGTTTGGTGATTACCTTATAAGGATCTGGAAATGCTCTTCACAGCTGAGTTGTACAGTTTACTATGGTTACTTTTCATTTCTTACTTCATGTTTTCCTTAGAATAATAATAATTTTTTAATGATCTTTTAAGATTTTATTTATTTGTCAGAGAGAGCACAAGCAGGGGGAGCAGCAGGCAGAGGGAGAAGCAGACTCCCCGCCGAGCAGGGAGCCCGATGCAGGGGCTCGATCCCAGGACCCTGGGATCATGACCTGAGCCGAAGGCAGACACTTAACGACTGAGCCACCCAGGAGTCCCAATAATAACAATTATTATTATTATTCCTTAGAATTATGCCTTAGAATAATAGTAAATGATATATACCACACCTTATTCCATTATTGTTATATTATTATTACTACTACATTACTCCTCCTCCTCTTTTGCTTCATTTGCTACATAGTGATCAGTAAGTCATCCCCAAACCCTCTCCCAATTGTCTGAATTTTCATCTCAAGGTATTTAAACATATCACATATTCTATCTATTCCATGTTCTTAGAGGCAGCTCTTCAGAAGCCTTCTGATCTGCCCCAATCTGAACCAGCTGCACAACTGTCCTCCATGGATCCCCCTTCACTAGCAACCTGGGGATTCCTCTGCCTCTTTTCCTGAGTTGGATCCCTTGTTTCCTGGGTCCATGTCATCTTCTTTCTTGATTCACTCCTTCACTGTGTGTGTGGTGTTTTGCCTCCAGTTCCTCCAGTGGCTTCCTGAGGCAGTTTATATAGAAGGTACATTTGTTGAAGCTTCACATGTTTTAAAATGCTGTTCTCCCCTCACACTGTTGACAGTTTGTTGGGTATAGAATTCTAGGTTAAAAATAATTTTTCTTCAGGATTTAAGGCATTGTTCCATTGTCTTTTAATTTTCAGTGTTACGCTTGAAAAGTCTGATGCCATTCTGATTCCTGGTCATTCATATGTGACGGTCTTCCTATTCTTTGTGGAAGTTTTCAGGATCTTCTCTTTGGTCCCAGTGTTCTAAATTATCCCAATAATCTGCCATGGTGTGTCTATTTTCATCCATTGAATTGGCCACTTGTTGGGCCCTTCTATTTTTTAAAAAATTTATTTATTGGGCGCCTGGGTGGCTCAGTTGGTTAAGCGACTGCCTTTGGCTCAGGTCATGATCCTGGAGTCCCGGGATCGAGTCCCACATCGGGCTCCCTGCTCAGCAGGGAGTCTGCTTCTCCCTCTGACCCTCTTCCCTCTCGTGCTATCTCTCATTCTCTCTCTCAAATAAATAAATAAAATAAAATAAAATCTAAAAAATTTATTTATTTCGGTGGGGGGAAGAGGAGCGGAGAGAGAGGGAGAGGGGAAGCAGACTCCCTGCTGAGTGCAGACCCTGACACAGGACTGGGGTGGCGGGGGGTGGAGAACATGACCTGAGCTGAAACCAGGAGCTGGACGCTCAACCGACTGAACCACCCAGGCACCCCTTGTTGGGCCATTTATTTTATTTTTTATATTTTATTATTTGACAGAGAGAGACAGAGCGAGAGAGGGAACACAAACAGGGGGAGTGGGGGAGGGAGAAGCAGGCTTCCCGCCGAGCAGGGAGCCCTATGCGGGGCTCAATCCCAGGACCTTGGGATCATGACCTGAGCTGACGCAGACGCTTAACGACTGAACCACCCAGGCGCCCCTGGTTGGGCCCTTTTATTTATTTTATATTTTTTTAGGTCCTTTTATTTTATATTTTTTTAAGATTTTATTTCTTTATTTGAGGGGGGGAGAGAGAGAGAGAGCGCACAAGCAGGGGGACCAGCAGGCAGAGGGAGAAGCAGACTCCCCACTGAGCAGGGAGCCCGAAGTGGGACTCGATCCCAGGACCCTGAGATCATGACCTGAGCCAAAGGCAGACGCTTAACTGACTGAGCCACCCAGGCACCCTGTGTTGAGCCCTTTTAAACTGGAGACTCGTGTCCTTCAGTTCTGGGAGATTTTCTTCATTTCTTTGATGATTATTTCTCCTCCACTATTTTTCTGTTTCTTCCTGGAAATCCTATTATTTGAATAGAGGGTGTCCTGGATGGATCCTTTTCTTTTTCTCTCTTCCATCTTTTTCTATATTTGTTCCAGTTTCTGAAATATTTCAACATTATCAATGCTTCTATTGAGTTTTTTCATGTTTTCCTCTCATGTTCTTATTTCTAAGGGTTGTTCCAGTTCTCTGAATGTTCTCCTTTTTTTAAGATTTTTTATTTATTCATTTGAGACAGAGAGATAGAGAGAGAGAGAGCATGAGAAGGGGGAGAGGCAGAGGGAGAGGGAGCAGCAGACTTCCTGAGCAGGGAGCCCCACGCGGGGTTCAATCCCAGGATCTGGAGATCACGACCTGAGCTGAAGGCAGACACTCAACCATCTGAGCCACCCAGGCACCCCAATATTTTCCTTTCTAAAAAAAAAATTATGATTTATTTACTTGAAAGAGAGAGAGTGAGTGAGGAGGGTGGTGCAGAGGGAGAGAGAGAATCCCCAGCCGACTCCATGCGGGCCTCAATCCCACAACCCTGAGATCATAACCTGAGCCAAAATCAAGAGTCGGTCCCTTAATGTACTGAGCCACCAAGGCGCTCCTGAATGTTTTCCTTTTTATAGGTTCCTGCTGTGGCTGCAATAATACCTCTTATCTTTTTAAGGACATAATTTTTTTTAAAAAGATTTTATTTATTTGACAGAGAGAGACAGCGAGAGAGGGAACACAAGCAGGGCGAGTGGGAGAGGGAGAAGCAGGCTTCCCGCCGAGCAGGGAGCCCGACGTGGGGCTCGATCCCAGGACCCCGGGATCATGACCTGAGCCGAAGGCAGACGCTTAACGACTGAGCCACCCAGGCGCCCCGATAATTAATGTTTTATATAAGTTCTCATCTCCTGGTATTATCTCCATTTCATTCAAGGTGTTTTTTCTGTTTATTTATGTCTGTATAGTCAGAGGGTCTCATATGTCGTACAGCCTCTAGCAGCTGCTCAGACTTCAGAGTGGTCTCTAAAAAGCTGATTGCAAACTTTACGTACATATGTGAGGCTTGCCAACTCTGAGCCTCACTAGTAATCATCTGGCTGGGTTACTTGGGTTAGCCCTGAAGTCAGTATCTCTTGCAGTATTTTTCTCTTGGGTTCACCACATTCACCATATTCTACCCATCTCAAGAATATGACGTAAA